TACAACTTAGATGATACAAAGTAAGTTAATTCACAAAGTTGTTCTCCTAAGAAATCAGTATTAATTATTAATAGGGAAAAGCCCCACAAAATACCCCAGGTATTCCGGGAGTGCAACCCTTTTTAGATGATGTGTTGATCGCCGCCCCCGATGCCGCCTCTTTCGCCGACTGCCTCCGCACCGTTCTCCAACGCTTCGACCAAGCCGGGCTGAAGGTGAAAAGGGAAAAGTGCCTGCTGGGAGTCCCCAAAGTGGAGTTCCGGGGATTCGCGGTGGATGCGCAGGGCATCCATCCCACAACGGAGAAAACGGCGGCGATCTCCAACGCTCCAGCCCCCACGTCTAAAACCAAACTTCAGGCCTTCTTAGGCCTACTAAACTTTTACCACTCGTTTCTTCCCTTGAAAGCAGCAGTTGCGGAACCCCTCCATCGGTTCCTGGACAAGGGCGCACCATGGGTCTGGGGACCGGCTCAGAAGGCGGCGTTCCAGGCAGTAAAAGACCTGCTCATCTCGAACTCGGTCCTCGCCCATTTCAATGAGGACTTGCCGGTGATTCTAGCCTGCGACGCCTCTCCTTACGGGGTCGGGGCGGTCCTGGGGCACAAGCTGCCAGACGGTTGGGAGGTCCCAGTGGCCTACTACTCCCGAACCTTGTTGGCAGCCGAGCGCAACTATGCCCAAATCGATAAAGAGGCACTGGAAATAGTGGCCGGGGTGAAAAAATTTCACCATTACCTTTACGGCCGGCCTTTTATGGTCCTAACGGACCACAAGCCTCTCCTGGGTCTGCTTGCCCAGGACCGCCAGACCCCCCAGATGACCTCGCCCAAAGTGATCCGGTGATCCGTCTTCCTGGCGGGCTACAACTACTCGCTTCTCCACCGAGCCGGGAAAGCGATGGGGCACGCCGACGCCCTGAGCTGCTTACCGCTGCCCACGACAGACCCAGACCCAGCTCCCACTCACCAGATCGCGCTCCTGGAGTTGCTGCCTGATCAGCCGGTGCACGTCAGGGAGGTCGCCTGCCGCACCGCCAAGGATCCGCTCCTCTGTCGCGTCCTGGACTGGGTGAGAAGGGGGTGGCCAGCGGCCGCAGTGGGTCCCGAGTTTTCGGCGTTCGCCACCCGCAAGGACGAACTCTCCACACACAAAGGTTGCGTGATGTGGGGGGGCCGGGTGGTGATTCCCTCCCCACTCCAAGACAGGGTGCTAGCCGCCTTGCACGAGGCTCACCCCAGCGTGGTACGGATGAAAGCCTTGGCCCGGAGCTACGTATGGTGGCCGGGCCTAGACCGAGACATTGAGGGGCAAGTAAAGCAATGTCAGCCCTGCCAGGCCTCATGGCCGGACCCGCCCCGAGCTCCCGCAAGGGCCTGGGAGTCATCTCACAAACCCTGGTCCCGGCTGCATTTGGACTTCGTGGGGCCATTCCAGGGGCAGATCTTTTTCATACTGGTCGACGCCTACAGCAAGTGGCTGGAGGTGGTGCCAGTACCGACAACCTCATCCCAGGCGGCTATCCGAGCAATGTGGCGCATCTTCAGCGCCCAGGGCCTCCCGGACACCTTGGTTACGGACAACGGGACGGCCTTAACCTCGAGCGAATTCCTAGAATTCACCAGGTACAATGGGATCCGCCACGTCCGATCCGCGCCTTTCCATCCGGCAACAAACGGGCAAGCAGAGCGCAGGGTGCACACCACCAAGGAGGCGCTCCGCCGATTCGAGAGTCGTGACTGGGAGTATAAATTGGCGGTCTTTCTTTTCGGCCAGAGGAACACGCCGCACACGGAGACGGGCCGCAGTCCTGCCGAGCTTCTGCTGGGTCGCCGCCCCACCTCCCGGCTTGATCGACTGCACCCGGACCGAGCACCCGAGGAGGAACCCGCCACCGAAACAGCAGAGGCAGCCCGAGGATTCTTCCCCGAGGATCCAGTGTACGCGAGGAACTATGCCAAAGGGCCGGCCTGGATACCCGCACGAGTGGTCCACGTACGAGGGCCTCGGACGTACGAGGTTTCCTGCGAGGCGGACAGTTGCTCCACCGCCACATAGATCAGCTGCGGCGGAGGGTTCTCCCCAACGAGCCCGAGGACCTGGACTTTCCAGAATCCGCTGAATCGCCCACTTCTGCTTTCGAGCCGCCGACCCAGGCACCCTGGCCAGGGCCCCCCGCCACCCAGCTCCAGGACAGCACGCCACCTCCAGCACCGGCCGGCCCGGTACCGAGCTCCCCGCCAAGACCTCAGGCAACCTCGGTGACCCCGATCCCCGAGCTCCGACGTTCCACACGGAACCGGACGACCCTGGCTTATCTCAAAGACTATGTGTGTGGGTAGTCTGGACTATGGGGTGAGGGGTGTAATGTACTCAGCCATGACCACGTGCGCGACCGTTGGGCCATGCGGTCGTGCCTAGCAGCAGAGCTTCGCTCCCCTGAGAACAATAGCCGAGCGGATCCTAGCCCGCACCAATTGGAGGGCCAGGTCCACGGCCGAGAGCCTATGGGACTCTCGGCCACTGTAAATAGCCTATAGAGTAATAGGGGGGGTGTTTAGGTGGTGGGTTTCTGGGCATATATACCGGCCTGCGAGCCGGCAGTCTTTGTCTTGTTCTATCCTAATAAAAGTACTCTGCTGAAATCACTCAACGTTTCTCAGTACTTTTCACAAAGACAGGCAAAGTTTTGCCAAGGACATGGAATGGTCACTGGTCTCTCACTGCTTATTTCAGTTTATAACATTTTAATGTTTCCATATTTTTTTTAGCAGGAATTTCTCAGAGAAAGCTGTCTAGATCAGGACAGGTTTGGCATCACTTTACTTAATGATAAAATGGATCTCAGCTGATATTTTCGAAATACTGAAATTGCTTGTGTTTCCCTTGGAGCTGACTCAAATTGATAGAGGAACAATCACCGGAAATTATCAACTTTATTAAAAATTTTGAGAGGTTGCGAGACATTTGACAAGATCAGGTATTTACATAATTAAACAGGATCAATTTCTTATCCTATGGCGCTATGTTTCACATAAAAGAATTATTTTTAAAAATATTGAGAATTGAGAATAACAAGTTCATTTGCCAGGAGTAACTTATTTAGTTACTATGTTATAGTTTTGATATGGGAGTGATTTCAGCCCCTACATAGGAAAATGCACTGTTTAAATTATTAAAACCATGGACTAGCTATTCCATTTATCCATAATATCTGGAACTCCAAAATGGCCTCTCTTTTAAATATATCTGTTAGGAATGAGTCACATGATGACCATTCTAATATAGCAGGGGCAGAAATGCTGCAATACATCTCTGACATATGTTAAGATCACATCTACCCTGCTCATGACTTAACCCACATTTTGAAGTGTTTTCCAGAGGTTTGTGAACTTTACTATAAGCATTCCAGCCACAGAATACTGGAAATAACCCCTATGGTTGCAGAATTCTAAAGTTTGAATTGGCCCTTACTACTGTTCAGAGTATGAAATTCTATACATTATCCAGTCTAAATTTAACAGTGAAGAATAGGCTATTGTCATGTTACAGTTACTTAATAAAAGTGCTGAAATACAAAAAGAAAAAGAAAAAATAATAGTCTAGACTGAGGTGAGACCCAATCAAGATATTCTACAGCTAGTCATCAGTTTGCATACTGAATGTGAGTATCATTATGAAGGAAGATTATTCAGCCGCAATGAATATTCGTATAGATAAGAGCAGACAATGGAGGATAAGACGCACAGAGATTTGCTATTAATGTTGCAATTATTCACAGGATACTACTAGTAATTTTTTACAGGTAGAAATCTGAGTTTAGTAAAGACAACAAGCTTTTTGCCCATAAAGCCATAGAAACAGGGTTTTATCCAAGCTTTTTTTATATTTGTATAGAAGACAAATTAACCCAGTAAACGTATGAACTAAACTTCCCCTCTAGTGCCTTCAGCAGATCAGCAACATTAAACTATAAATGTTTGTTCTCCCTTTTCTTTGATTGAATATAAATACAGTTCTCATCCAATTATTTAAAATTTTTAAAACAGCCAGAAATGCAGTTAACTAGCTGCGAATCATTCCCAGTGAGATCTGACACCACAAACACTGATGTTGTTACCCACCTTGAGCCCGCTTGCGGGAAGGGCAGGCTATAAATATGAAAAATAAACAAGTAAATAAAAAACAAATATTCTGTCCCCATCATTCATTCTTCTGGGGCAATGGCTTGACTGTGCTTATGAAAAGTATTTCAAAGGCAATTGCATCTGCAACAACTGTATGTACAACAATTAAAAAGAGAGAGAATAGAAAAATAGAATCAGATCGATTCTGCAAAAAGCAGTTGTTGTGCCCTCGGTCTCCCGTTTCCCAGTTTGGTATAGCGGTTAAATGTGCGGACTCTAATCTGGGAGAACCGGGTTTGATTCCCCACTCCTCCACTTGCACCTACTGATGTGACCTTGGGTCATTCACAAGCTCTGGCACAGCTGTCCTTGAAAAGGAGCAGTTTGTGTCAGAGTTCTCTCAGCCCCACCCATCTCACAGGGTGTCTGTTGTGGGGAGGGGAAGGGAAAGGAGTTTGTAAGCCGCTCTGAGACTCCAAGTGAAGGGTGGGGTATAAATCCAATCTCTTTTTCCCCCGGTTGTCCTGCTCAATTTCCCACTATTTGCTGAGCAACCACATTTTGACCCGCATCTCCCCCCCCCCCGATTAAGGATCAAGACAACGCAGGGGAAATCAGGGGGAGATGTGGGTCAAAATGCGGCTGCGCAGCAAATAGTGGGAAACTGAGCAGGACAAGTGGGAAACTGAGCAGTGCAGCTGGGGAAACTGGGAGATCAAGGGCGCAACAACTGCTTTTGCGGAATCAGTCCTAGCTTCTTGCCAGGTAAACCTGAAGGGTCCATTTATCTTAAGTTGTATCTATAGATATTGGACAATATCAATTACCCAACCAGTTTAAACATCACATAAATATAACACTGACAATACTGAATTTATGGCCAATCGTGTAGCATGCAGTACCACCCTATAACTCTTAAAGATACAACCTGTCCTATAATTTTTTGCGATGGTGAGACAGTAATGTCAGTTGCTTCTGGACCTTGCTGCTTCTGCATTCTGGCATACAGAGCTCTAACTTCCACATCATGCTTCATGGCTGAAATCACAGTTCGAAATTTAACAATTAAAGGGCTGTTTCAAACAATTCTTCAATAAACAAATATATAACTAATTTGAAAGTCTTGCCTTGGTATATGGGCAAGATAGTGGGATATTTAGATGAAAAGATTTAGTAAAACACAGGCAAACTTGCTTAGCTCTGATCCTGAATTAATCTAGTACATCTGTATTCTGTCTGGACTGAGACTTCCTTATGATTAAACCCCTTTTAGAACTAAATGTGGGCTTGATAGACTGATGCCAGTCAGTGACATCATTGACCTATGCTGGTGCCAGGGCCTGGACCAAACATACTGAGAACACTGTCATGCCCACAGAGAAGTGGAGATCTTTCCATCCTCTGTAGCACTGACATTCTAGATCTGGGTTAAATCCAGGTACATGGATGCAAGTTCACAGTGATGTCCAAGGACTGGAACTATATTTAGTGAGGTCAGTAGCCCCAACAGGCTGTTGTCTTTTAAGGCAATTATGTTGCTGAAGTTTATAATTACTGGTTCAGCATATGAATTTGTTCATCTCATAATACTTGGTTGTATCAAGCACCTTTCCCCTTCTCTAGCTAAAAATATTAGTTTAGATCCTCTAGATGAAGAGTCAATGGTCAGTACAGTGTTTACTTTTGCTGAAACACTCATTGACTGGTATGAACTTTGTGACCAGATCACCACACCAAGCAGCATGTTGAGAGGTGGGCACTGCAGGTAGTTTTCTTGGCAGTTTCTTGCGGACATTTTGGGTGATTTCCCACTAGCGCTGCTCCGGGCTCACTCTTCCCTTTTGCCCCGATGGTAGGTGTCAATTTCACACAAGCTGCTGCGCGGCCACATTTTGCCTCACAGCTTCGTGCGGTTTTCCCCACATCTACTCAATCCTCAAAAAACAGGATTGAGTAGACGCAGGGAAAATCGCACGAAGCTGTGGGGCAAAATGGTGCCGCACAGCAGCTTGTGTGAAATTGACACCTACCATCGAGGCAAAAGGGAAGAGTGAGCCCGGAGCAGCGCTAGTGGGAAATCACCCTTTGTGAAACAGAGAGGGTAATCTGGGCCTATTCCAGATCATTTCCAAAGTCCAGACAGGCCCTCTTTCCATGTTGTCTGGGGAAAATCTGCTGGACCAGAAGTTTTTTAAAAATCTGCTGCTTAATATTCTACAAACTCCTGGCAGCATAACAGCTGCCCACATTTCCTTTTTCCCATCAGTAAGATAATACTTGGAGGGGCAGGATTTGCATGGGAACAAGTGACATGGCAGCAAGAAGGAGGAAGAACAGAGCCGGGGGAGGGATGTGATTTTGCCAGTTCACCTTTCTCACTGGAGTCCTCTAACCTATTTTTCTTTTCTTCACCAAAATCCTGTAACTCCAGGCATCAGCATTCTGGGAGTAAAAAGGAATTGCTGGAGGAAGAAGGGGAAAGTGGGGGCAATCTATATACGTTGCATTGGCAGTTGAGTGGATACAATGCAGTATCAGTAGTATGCTTTTATATTTACTTGTTTTGATTCCATACTAGATTAAAGAAAAAAGTGTCGTGGAAAATGTACACTTCATATTGATTCTACAAATCCAGCCCGTTTTGTATTTATGCAGTATTCACACACAGTGGCAGGAATTAAATCCTTTTTGGAAACATATGATTTCCTTAATCTCATGAAATTTATACCACCAGGGGGAAAATTATTTGGAAGTCCTGAGATGGAAAAGGAATAATAGCAAGGCTTTCTCTGTGTACAGGAAGTTAGAAAACCCAAGACTGTGAAACAGAAACATACATACAGAGATTTACTATTATGTTTTGGCACAACGCTAGACATCTAAGGGCTGGTTCAGATGTTGCACCAGCCACCTGGAGTCTACCACTCCCCCCCCCGCCCTTCTGTATAATAACTTCATGTGGTTGTCTTAACATGTAGAACGGCTTGCTAACATGTAGACATCTATCATATGCAGCAGTTAGCACACATTGTCAGATATTCTTTTACGTGACTAGGATGATTTGTACATTAATTTTGAATTCCTGTCTAAATGGAATGCTGATACCTTTAACAAATATATATTTTGAAAAACACATTTTGTGGGAGCAGGGAAAATATTAATCAAAGGGCACTGTTATGCTGTTGTAAATTTTTGGATCTCTCTCTTCCACAGGAAACCAGACCTTTGTAGTGGTTTTTGGAGCTTGCTTGTTTATTTACTTACTTAATGTATAGCCTGCCTTTCTCACTGACATTCAAAGCGGATTACAAATGACAGCTAATTATTGATGGGGAAATAGGATAAATGTTCTGTCTCATTTTAATTATCAGGATGATGATCTATGAATAATTTTTTTTGGGGGGGTCCCCTTTGTTTTTCACTTACTTTTAAATTAGGATTTTTTAAAAAATTGAAAAGCATTTATTGTATCTTTAGGACACTACTGATTTAACTAAAGTATCTCTGCTGGAACAGATCATGGGCAACTGAACTGGGTGGTATACTGCAGCAGTGTGGTTTTTCAAAACCTTCCCAGAGGTCTTTACCAGATTAATTCTACTTGGTTGTGAAAGGAAATGGATAATATAACCTTTTAAATCTGATTAGCTATCCAGTAGTCTCAGCATGGTATACGACAGAAGAAAGATGTGGGAAAGGTGGAATATGATATATAACATTTATAAATGAAACAAAACACTGTGAATTGGCCTATGCAGCCCAATGTAATTACTAAAATTACATATACCCTATAACCTCTTCCCCTGACTTCAACGCAGCATGAACATGTACACCACAGGTTTAATTCAGTCTCAATAAATCTTTTACAGTGAATCTTGAGCATTTTGCAGACTTTGGTAGTGAAAGAATATAACATCACCAAGATCACCAAGGCTATTGGCCTTAAGCGCATCGTTTTAAAATATCATTCTCTCTAGAAAACCATGCTTGAGTAACTATTGTAAGAACAGTGCTAGAGGTCCACCCATATACAAAGCATGACTTTCTGCATATTTGGAGTACCAGACGTTCACAGAAAAACATTAATTTGTAAATTTTAAAACAGAAGAAAAAAGTCCAAAACAACCTGATGAAGACTGAGCATGCTCACTGACTTTAAAGTGCCACGTTAGGGTTGCCAGGTCCCCCCTGGCTGCTGGCTGCAGGGTTGCCAGATCTGGGTTGGAGGGATGCTGGAGATTTGGGGATGGAACCTGGGGAGGATGGGGACTTCAGTGGGGTACAATGCCATAGAGTCCAGCCTCCAAAGCAGTCATTTTCTCCAGGGGAACTGATCTCTGCAGTCTGGAGATTAACCATAATTCCAGGGGATTCCCAGGTCCCACCTGGAGGCTGGCATCCCTAGCCAAACTCTCATATTTTTCAAAATCAACCCTACCACAAATGCTCAGTTGTCTTATAGTAATGAAATCTAATGCACCGGTAAGGTTCCTACATACAGATTCCCTTCAAAAGCATTCACAACCAGCCTCTAACAATCCACTACTACTACTAATACTACACCTTCATTTTCCAGGAAATGGAAACAGGTAGCACAAAGGGCTTTGAGGACATTTTGGGTAGCACAAATGGCGCTCAAACTGAAATGGGCCCTGATTTTTAAAATTTGTTTAGAAATGTTTACCTCGGCTTCCTGTAGGTTTTCCAGCCAGTTGGTGGTGGCTGAAGATCTCCTTGGATCACAACATCTCCAGGCAACAGAAATCAGTTCACCTGGAGAAAATGGCCACTCTGGAAGGTAGACTCTATGGCATTGTACCCCAATGAAGTCCCCTCCTTCCCCAAACCTCACCCTCCTAGGTTCCACTCCCAAAATCTCCAGATATTTCCCAACCCAGAGCTGGCAGCTCTAGCTGGCACCCAGCAGGAGATGGCGGGAAAGGATATAGGGAGCACCAGAATTGTGCTTGAAAAGATACAATTTTCAGAGAAAACCAGAAGTGACTTCACATTGCTCTAGGAATCATTGGAAACTCTATGGTAGTCAGGAAGACCTGGCAACTCTGCCTTTCTGGCCAAAGGGATCCAAGCTTGCAAGAAACAATATATAATCACCATAAAATGCACTAGAACTACTACTCAGTTGAAAGACTATTAATGAAAAACAGCCCACATCACTCCAATAGTCAATTATTATCTTAAAATATTAAAATTTATTTCAGAATTGTTTTTAAATCATTTATTCTGCTTGGGTCTATTCTGAATCAGATTGAGGCAAAGTCACCTGTAACTATGCCAACTGGACTTCCAGGAGCAAAACTAACTTCAGTTATACAAAGAAGGGCTAGCATCATCACCATTGCCATTCTGCTTTAGAACTTGCATGCAGTGTATATGCAAAAGCGAAAATATTTATAGGGCTGCCAGGTCCCCCGGGAGGGCGGAGGTTCCCCCGCTAAAAGGGTCCCCAATCCGCCGGTCCAGAAAAGGCCGGCAGGGGAACCCCGCCCCCAAAGTGCCTGGTTCAGGCTGACGTGCCAGGCACAATGATGTCACCCGGAAGCCTTGGCAAGGGGTGGACTTGCTTTTCTGGTAGTCTTAATGACCAATCTGCCCCTGGATATTCGCAAAAGTTTTGCTGAAACTGTGCCAAATTACCTTTTCTGCTCATAAAGGGCTGTCCCGTGGAAACACAAAGCACCATGTCTCTTTCTATTTCATCCCATGAATGCAGTTGGTCACCACTGGGTGTGTACAGTGCCTTTGCAGGCTGTGGCATTTTTAGCTGAGTTGTACAGCTATCAAGTAGCTGAAATTAAAAAAAAAAAACTGGTTTAGTTTTCAGTAGTCCATGTAGGTTTGTGAGTACATATTTCAAGCTAGAAAATACTGACTTCCAGTCTATCAGTCACAAGAGAGAGCACACATCTACTGAGGAAAATGTTACACATACACAATGCATACAACTTAGGGTCGCCAACCTCCAGGTGATCTCCCAGAATTACAACTGATCTCTGAACTACAGAGATCAGTTCCCTTGGAGAAAATGGCTGCTTTGGAGGGTGGATTCTCTTAGGTCCCTCCCTTTCCCAAACCCTGTTCTCCAAAGCCCCCCCCCAACCTTCAGGAATTTCCCAACCCATTGTTGGCAACCCTAAACCCAATCCTGAACTACTTTCTCATGTATCGCCCAATCTTGAATGACTTTCTCTTATTCTAAATGAAGACAAAACAGATTTCACCCCCTTCCCAGAAGTCAAGGACTACATTGTAGCCTAGGCTTGCCAAGTCCCCCCGGGGGGCGGGGAAAACCCCGCCCCAGAGGCCCGTTCCCCACTGCCGGCGGATCGGGCCCCAGGGGAACCCCACCCCCAAAGCACGCGACATGCACATCACCCGGAAGTGACACGACCACGCCGGGCACACTGAGGGCGGGGGCACGGTCATCCGAGGGAAAACTCTATGATTTTCCCTCGGATGGTCGTGGCCCTGCCCCCAGTGTGCCCGGTGTGGTCACGTCACTTCCCCCACTCCAGCACAGCTTCAGACGTGGCAACCCTATTGTAGCCTCCCTTTAGAGACAGTACAATTTTAAAAATTGCATGAGAAGGACAGATATCCAGAAAAAGCACTGGAGATCTCTCTGTCTAATGAGACCTGGGCCCTGTGGGACTTGGCTCAGTTCCACAGGGCCTGCAAGACCAAGATGTTCCACCTGGCATATGGTTGAGGACAGTGATGACCAGTAAGATCTGTTAGCCTCCCTCCCCCCCCTTTCACTGTGCTGGCTGCCCCCAGTTGTCCACCTGTGCTAGATATTCAGGCACCATCTGATTTGATGTAGTAAATGAAGTGTTAGGTTTTAATTTGCAACAAATTGGTTTTAAACTGTAATATGCTGTGTTGCTGTACGTTTAATTGCTGGAACTTGCCCTGAGCTCTGCATATGAGGAATGGAGCATCATATAAATTGAATAAATAAATGTTGGAGCTCTGCTGCAGAAGGGGGGAATCAGTGAAAATTTACCCTCCCCTTTCTGTAAATGAAAATATTAGGCAGGATGTATTTAGATATAGAACTTGGTTTACTAATGCAATCCCAGATCCAAATATGCAGAAACTGGGTTTAAGCTATCCAACAGCAGTTTGGAAAAAAAACTCTTTCTGCTTTATCTTTACCTCTGCCATTGTTTTTCCCCAGGCATGAACTCCTTGCTCAGGTTTATATCCATTCATGTAAGCCCACACCCTTTTGGTTGTAGGCTGATTGTAGAGACTTCTGTGACTTTTTGCAAGTAGTTTAGGAGAAAAAGGATAACTTCTTTTGGACTGGAATGCTTGAATCTCTGAAAGGTGCATCTAAAATTATTCCCAAAATCATGACATTAGGCATTCAGTTACATGCAGCAAAACAGAAATAAACAAACAGATGAAAAAATAATAATTTCACCATGGATTATGTTTGTAATGCCTGAAAATGCAATAAACACAGAAACATTTGTTCATGTAACTAAGCATGATTTATGGCAGTAGTTCTCAAACTTTAGCAACCCAGGGGCCTCTATATAAAAATATTCATGGACACCCAAGCCCTCCTCTCCACCCTAGTATTCAACTGAAAACAATCATTGGTTGTTATTGACTACACATGCAGTGTGGCATCTCTCTTGGGTGAATCCTACATCTATCCAACCACTCTACTGAGAAAAGCTGTCCTTCAACCTTTTCCAACTTAAGTGGCTCTTCTTCCAACAGGATCCTTGGAGGATAGTTTGATGCACAATCTGTCTGTATGGTGAAATCCTTTGCATTGGAAAATAGAATGAAAATCAGTTCAGTTTTAATCCTGAAGTAACTATAATGATGGTCTATCTATATTAAGCCTGCATGTCCTTGGTACCACTCAGCCAATAACAAGTTCTAAGATTAAGCTATTGGATCTTGGCAACCAATGCCTTTTTTACTAGACTCTGGAGTGAGTGTGCATAATGGTGACTCCATGAGCTCCTGGCTGTCTGAGACATAGTTCCTGAGCCTATTCCTAGAAAAGTGAATGGGCTTGTAGCCAATGCCCCGAGGGCGCTAAAGTTCTTTGATTTGTGTGGCTAGCCGATAAACCACACAGTTAAAACAACCATCCAGGGAGTAAAGGTAAAAAAAAAAATCAGTGTGGATGTTCAATGTGTTACAGCCAGGAGCTTGCTTATATACTCTTCTTGCTCCTCCTCACTTTACATCATCACTGACTTCATTTAGAATGTCTTTTCTGCTAAAGGAAATTCATAGTACCTCTTGGGACTATAATATTAGAACCAAAATAAGATCTTTGGGCCTCTCCTTGGAGGAGCTAGCTTTCTCCTCTGAAGTGTATATCTTCCAAACAATCAAACAGGCTGGTAGATATTGAACTTCAAAAACTGCAGCCCCTTCATCCCCCTGTCTGTTCTTCAGCTACATTAAGTCTTAAGAATGTTGTGGGATGTATCCCCCTGTATTTGTATAATCTTGATAGCCCTAGCTATCGAAGAGCGTTTTCTCTTGCTCGAGTAAATGCCTTTCCATCAAAACTACTGTATGGTAGGTTTCAAAATATTCCTAAGCATGAACGGAGATGTGACTGCGGTTCTAACTCTCTTGATTCAATTGATCACATATTGTTAGACTGTTCGTGGCATGCATCTGCTAGGGAAAAATGGTTAAACACTTGGTTGCATGGTAAACATCACCTTTCCAATGAAATAAAATGCCAATTTCTATTGAACGATGTAACAGCAGAGATTACTGTGGCAGTGGCCAATTTTTTAGTGGACGTGATGAGAGTGAAAAATTTGGGAAAGTCCGTTTCATGATTTTATAATTAACCTAGACTTTTAGTTGATTGTGTCATTTTCTGTCTTTTATTTTAATGTTGTATATGCCATTAAAGGTTTATTGATTGATTGAGTTTAGATTCCTTTGTCTGGTCAGTCATCAATCACATATTTGACACACAGGATGTTACTTGGCTGCATCTCAACTCCTACAATGCAGGTGCACTGCTCATTAAGTTGATTGATCTTTTTGTTTACTTCTTTTGGCTTCCTTCCTAGACCCCTTTCACCTTTGAATGAACCCTCAGGCTGAGTTCATTTTCAGTACAAACTTTAGATATTTTCATTACAAAAATGGTCCTTTTACATTAATACATGCATATAAAAGTATAACGATATTCTTAAAGCATTTTATAAACTTATTTTCACTAAAAGGTATACAAAATATGAAAGCATGTATCATTACAATGACATTCTAAAGAATTAAACCTTTTACATGAAGTCTTTTAGTGTTTTAAAGTAGCCTATGACATAAAGCTCTTGTAGATGCACTGAATCTATCAGTTTTTATTTTGGTCCATCAAAATATTTGTAATAATTTTATGAAGTTTCTTTTTGTCTAAATTAAAACTTTTAATTTGTAGAATACATCACCTCATTTTAGCCAGCAGAGGGTCCTCTTTGACAATACAAGTTCTACATTTTAAATTGAACCTTTTAATTGGCTTTCAGGTGTGCATGATTTATTATTTTGTTTTCTTAAACCTTTTGGAACATCTCCCAACTTTTGCTTGTTAGTCCTTCTGACTTAGCTTCTTTAGTTGACCAGCCCATGATTTATGTCTTCCATGTTGGCTGGGGTCCCTACACACCTAGTCAGCCCTTGGCCATTTTCCAACTCTTGCTCTTGTCAACAGTTTATTAGCTTTAAACACATTTCATTATTAGAAAATTAAAACCTTAACTAGTTTTCTTCTTTTTCATTAAACATACAAAAACATTTTATCCATAAGCTTTCATTCTCAGCTATAAACATTCAGAGATATTTATCTTTTTTAACGTTTATAAAAGCACTCTTAAAACTTAAGCTTATATTCCATAAAAATACAATTGAACTTTATTTAAACCAATTAATTTTGACATCCTTTAACTTAGCTTGTGAATCCTTGCCAGGTCAGTTAAAAACATGTTGACCAATTATTTGCTTGATCGTTTGAAGTAAAGGATGGATCATCCATCTAACTTTGGCAATTAATTACTGGTGCCTTTACACCAGTTCAGTTCTGAGTGTCTTAATGATTTCTCTTTAGGCAAGCATCCTTTTTGTCTTTAAAAAGAAAACTTGGTAGCAAAATTAATATTTTAGCTAGCTGCTGTCTTTACAAATATCTTATACCATAATCTTGGTAAATGTTCAGCTTCACACAAAATACAGAGTTCTAAAAACACACACATCAGGAGAGAGAGTTTTTCTCTTACAATATATAGCTTTTCTCTGTTTTACCCCAATTTTAGGCTTTGTTCATTAATTCTTTTGAAGTAGAGAGGTTCCCATAAATCTCCACCTATGATGGGTTCTAATTGGAAATTGGCTAAGCTAACTGGGCAAATCTTGGACTCTGAGAACTCATCTCAATTAAGAAGGCTGATGCAAGAACATCAGTCTTCACTTATGACAGCTGGGATGGTTGTACCAGTTTAGTTCAAAGGATGATATAAAAACACTTGGCCCAATTAAAACATTATTTGCTGTCAATTAAATTTGAATTAAAACAACTTTACTTAGTGGCTAACAGTTGAATTCTCCAGGAGAGTCCCAAAGAATTTATTTTTCCCCAAAGAGTCCTGGAATGCTAGCAATAATCAATAGAAAATCATTTGAACCCTTCAATTGTCCTCTACAGGCTCCTAGTTCACATCAGCCAGATGGGCCTGAGAAGAGATGATCCTCTGTCTTTACAAAGGGTTCATGGACCTCTTTGGAGGAACTGGACTTCAGTTTGAGAAATGCTAATTAGTATATCTGTAAGGGAAATGTCATCAGATGAAAATGAGTCAAAACCTAAAATCAATAGATCCTTTCTTGAATATAGCTACCATAACTAATTCAAACTGGAAAAATGATAGCATTCAAGAACTATTTTAAAAATATGTATTTGGCCATTATTCTGGTGTTTAGCTGTCTGGCTTAGAATTCAAGAACATCAGATGGAGGAGGAGTTAAGAGAAGATGGCTCAGCAGATATGCAAGTGATAGGGTCATTTACCAATCAGTAGTGCTAAAACACAGGCCTTGACTTCTACTGAAACTGCAGTCGCTGACGGGCTGTAGAACTCTCTGTTCAGGAAGTATTTGGGGAAGGGAAATATGGAAGCTAAAATGTTTGGATGAGATGGTGCTCTTATTTCTTCGTTTTGCCATTTAAAAAACCTATTGTGGTTTCCCCTCTAACCTTGCTCTTTAGCACTGGAACTGCAATTGTGATAAGAACTGGATTCAGCTGCTCGTAGTATAGATTTTGTGTTGAAAGTATGTTTCGATTTCATCATTCAAAATACAAGCCCAAGGTGCAGTTTCATACCTCTGTATGTAGGATATTTTCCATGAGCTTCATCTCTTCCTGGGTTTCTTCAGTCCAGCCTCCTTCTATTACCACAGGCTGTAGGGGACTCTTAGTGGGCACCATATTGGCTGGCTGAAATTTTGTTATGCGCCGCCCTAAAATGAGGATGGCCTAGACAGTTATTTTTAATGCATCTTATCTGAAGGTATTTTGGTTTAATTCAATCAAACAAAAAGAGAAAAAGGCCAAATGGACACAGAAAATGTCTTGTATTTCCTGTACTAATAAATGTTCATGTATTCACTGGGAATGGGACTCAAATCATCCCTTGCATAAGTAAAAAGCACTTCCATGTGTGTATGAGGGTGCAGGTGCCACTCCCACCATCACCATATTGTTGGCTGCTCCAGAGACTCTCCAAACACTTAAGAACAATTTTCTTGGAGCTCCAGCAAGCAGGGGGGGAATAGGAAGCCTACAGAACAAACATGGAAAACTATGTACTGATTGTTGGACTTTGACCAATGATCTTGTATTAACTATTGAATGTGCTGCCTGTTGATATATTTCAGGTTTTTTATTTATACCTATAAGCCTAACAAAATCAGTATAGAAAACAAAAAGTTTATATTGAAAAAGTTATCGGTGTAAAATAATCTCTTCAAGTTCATCTATATATATACAAGAAAGTCCCCTCACCTTAAAATCAACGCCATGGCCAAACCGCTGGACCTAGAGACACCAAATTTGGGGAGAGCACTCCTACCATGGGGTAGGTCCTCACTAAGAAGGGTTTTTTAGAAATTTGACCCCTAAGTGGGTAAAAGGGAGTAAAATGTGCTCTACCCATTGATTCCTATGTGGCTGCTAGGCTGCTGCCTCCTTGCACCCCCCACTCTCTGATTGGTCAGCTGCAGAGCTCAGTGTTCTGAGGTAAAAAAAAAACAGTTACACAGGACTGCAGAGAGCTAATGACATTTGAGGAAATCAGGAGTGGCCAACAACCACCTGTGAGGTGAAGCATAGCTGCTGGTCCAGCTTCTCTGATGGCTTCCAACACACTCCACCCACCTCCTACACCTAACAGGTGGTTGTCTGTCAGGTGCAGCCCCACCTCCACAGTGGCCTCTAATACTCCTCCCCCCTCCCCCTCCTACACTGGACAGAAAAAAGTATGTATGTCTCACTTCATTTCTTACACTACAATCTTCTCCATTAGAATTCCTACAACAAATGTCACATTTCAAATTTCACATAATCAGAATTAGAACTGGATTTACGGAACTTAAATACCATACAACGCACGGGTATCAGGCTAGTTATTAATATCCCAAACCCCCCCCCACCTTTCCCAGCTGCAGAAAGAAAGTGCGTTTTCCAACTATAATTCAGTCTAAAATATTTGGGTTACATATTTTCACCTTTAAGACCAATGAAGTTTTATTGAAGGTATAAGCTTTTATGTGCATGCACACTTCTTCAGATAGAATGACATGGAAATTACCAGTCCATACATATAGGTAGAAGATGAGAAGTAAGTTAGCACATAGCATAATGAAGTTTAAGAGATCCAAGGACCAAACAGGAACACGCATAGTTTATACAAGTGGGGACCGACAACAAAATGTTGCATATTATTAATGTCTTTTTCATAGTATAGTTGGTTACTGTTTAGATGGCTTTCTTGCAGAAACTGATTTGCTCGCTTTTTGGATTTTCTCATTTTGGCAGGGCATCCTCTTTTGTGAGGTACTTTTGGCATTGTATTGTTCTGTATGGTATTGATGAATGATTGTTGTTTCTGACAAAAAAGGGAGAGATTCATTCAATTGTTTTTAGTGGTGCCCTCTTAAGGGAGGAGGCAGCTCTGCGACAGCCTTCTGTGAAGGAAAGGGAGTGATAGTTGGAGCCCACTTTTCCCTTTTTCCCTTTGTTTCCCTTTTTTCTTTTTCTTTATTGAACACTGGAAAGAGAGGCATCTAGCCTTGCTCAGTTTCCTTGTACATAGCCAGCCAGCCAACTGAACTTGTCTTCAAAGAGGAGTTTGCCTGGGAATCACAATCACATTGTTTATGTGAGGTGAAATTTCAAAGATTGCTTTAATGGGTACTGAAGGTCTTGAGGTGCTACAGGTGTCCTGTACCACTCTCCTCCTGAGTGCCCTTGCCAAAAGCAGCTGTTTAAATGGCCACTGGTTTATCAATGGATCAGCCTGAGGCACCTTTGCTTGTTCAGTCTCTTGCCTTGCCATGGAGAATTGTGTGTTTGCAGGGCTGCAGTCTTTTTCAGCCTGAGATGGGTCCACATTCACCCACAGCGCCACAGCTTTCTTTGGCAGTTTGTCTGTCCAGGTTGGCAAGGAACATTTTAAAAGGTGGTGTGTACAAACTGACACTGGTTGGAGGAAATCCTGCCTCCTCTCCACTTGCCCCCTATCAGTCACTGTGCCCACCCATCCATTAATGACACGTGAGCTGTCCTTTTATAACTTTCCTCTGGCTTCTAGTCAGAAGAGAAAAACACCATTGGAGATGGGCAAGTGGCAATGAGGATTCCTCCCCAATCCCAGCTCCAGTTCTGCTGTTGGTTCCTCCCCTCCTCCCCCACCCATTATCTCTCTCTCTGTGTCTCTCACACACTCTCAGCCAGTAAGTCTTGAGCTGCTGGAGGGGGAGAAGCAGTTAGAAGCCTTGAATAAAACTTTGTTGGTCTTAAAGGTGCCACTGGACCCAAACTTTGTTCTGCTGCTTCAGACCAACATGGCTACCCACCTGAATATATTTTCTACAAATAACCCAAGTCAGTGAACTGAAGTTAGTTACTTATGTTTAACCAATCTCTACTAAAAAATTATCATATGATGATAAGAAACAATTACATTGCAATTTTCTATGGATTTCTGTAGTAATTAGTGTGGTTTTTATTGTTGTTGTCTAAATCCTTCTCATAGCCATAAGTAAACAGAGTGCCTGGAATGAGCAACAACAGCTTTGAAAGGCATGTTTTAAAATTCAGTTTTCCTTCCCCACACAATGGACAACAGCTTGCATGCTGAGTAACATGTTTTTCTAACTCAATAGATTATCCAGTACAGGTAATGTAATAGTGATGTCGCTGGATCTGCAAACACTGCTTCACAGTTTCTGTGTACTTATAATGACAAACAGACCATTCAAATGAAAGTCTTAATGGTAGATAGATAGATAATTGATGAGCACACACAATAATTTCTTCTAAAAATGTGGTCCAATTTATAGTGTGCTCACATAGGCTTATTTTTTTAAGCTGTGGATGCTCATGGAATTACATTAAAGCTGTGCTAATTTCCTGCCTATCTGCACTTAAAGTTAACCAAGGCCCTGTTCAAACGAGAGCTTTTGGGCCGGGAGAGGGACGGATCGGGGCCGCAGCAAACGGGCGCGATCCCACAGCAACATCTGGGAATCGTGCTGCGCCCGTTCCCAGCCCGTTCCCAATCCGTCCCTCCCGGCCAAACCCCGCAGCAAAAAAGAACCACCTACCTAGGTGGTTCTTTCCGAAAGGCCGCATCACTTCCGGCCATGGGATCGCCGGCGCGTCTTTCCGCTGGCACATCCCCGGCCCCCGTCCGTACTGCATATGCTTGAGCATGCACAGTTCGGCAGCCTCCCCCTCCCAATCGTCCCTTCCTCCCCGGCATCTGATCGTGCCGGGGAGCAACGGCACCGTGGCTCAGGGGATCGTGGGATCCCGCTGCGGCATCTCTTTTTTGGTGCGGCTTTTAAAAGCCGCACTTTGGCCAGTGTTTTCCCTGCCGTGTGGCAGGGACCCAAGATGGCACAAGATTAGATCCAGCAGAAGATTTCTGTTGATGAAATGAGGAAGGATTTCACCAAGTTTGCCCTCCTACCACACCCAGTGACTACCCTTCATTCTGTTCCTGGAGTTCCCCTTTCCCCCAGAAACAGAATTTATGGAGGTATTTTGGGTTGCAACAGGAGAACAAGTAAGGAAGGTGCATTCTGCTGACAGAAATCCCTTCCATCAGTGGACATTTCTGGTCGATCTAGCCAATGTATAAAGTGGAAGTTCAATGCTGGTGTAGGAATCCCCATGCCGTATTAAATTGGGGGGGGGATCATCAGCATTTTAAATGTAATGTATTGAAACAATGGAAGACAAAGTGTATATTTGTATTTAAATTAAAAATAAATATACATAGTTATTTAAGGTAAAGGTAAAGGTTCCCTTGCTCGAAAGCCAGTCGAATCCGACTAGGGTTGCGGTGCTCATCTCTGTTTCCAAGCCGAAGAGCCAGCGTTGTCTGAAGACCTTTCCGTGGTCATGTGGCCGGCATGATTAAAAACACCAAGGTGCACGGAACGCTGTTACCTTCCCACCGAAGTGGTACCTATTTATCTACTTGCAATTTCTTGCTTTCGAACTGCTAGACTGGCAGGAGCTGGAACTAGAGATGGGAGCTCACTCCATCATGCGGCACCCGGGTCTCGAACTGCTGAACTACTGACCTTCAACAGCCTGCAGTTCAGCGTCTTAACCACTTGAGCCACCGCAGCTCCTTACGTAGTTATTTAGCATGTCTTATATTCTAACTAGCAGTAAAGCCCGTTGTGAAAGCAATACAACAGGATCTAGAAAGAGGCTCTGGGGCAGTGCTCTGGCTTTGGGCAAACAGTGTCAATTTGCTGTGGTGACCTCAGCAGAGTATGATGACAGAGTCCACTGTTTTCTCCAGAGGAACTGATCTCTGCTACCTGAAGAGCAGTTGTAATTGTGAGTAATCTGTAGCCCTCACCTGGAGATTGGCAACAATTGTTACCCAGGACAAAATGACTGGTTTGGAGGGTGGAGTCTATGGCATTCTACCTGTCTGAGGTCCCACCCCTCTGCAAACCCCACCCTCTCCAGGCTGCACCCCTCAAATCCCCAGGAATTTGTCAGCATGTAGTTGG